AAAAAGGAAAACAAAAGTTGCATTGAGTAGGTTTAATAAAATCTTATAACGTTTTCCGAGAAACTATATGGTGGGTAAATTATGTTTTGATGGGCACTTTCCCTATCTTGATGAATTTGAGATGGACTGATTTCCTGATAGGCACTTTTCCTAGCACTAAAAACTATAAACGTCATAAAAAGTTAGTCTACGAAACAGTAACACAGGGGCCAGCAACCTACAGCATGCATGCCCCACGTGGCATGTCAAATAATTTCTAATGACACGCATGACACGCCAAATAATTTCTAATGGCACACATGGCATGTCAAATAATTTCTAATGGCACGCGTGCTTCACGTGGCATGTCAAATAATTTCTAATGGCACGCGTGCCCCACATGGCATGTCAAATAATTTTTAATGGTGCGCGTGCTTCACGTGGCATGTCAAATAATTTCTAATGGCACATGTGCCCCACGTGGCATGTCAAATAATTTCTAATGTCACGCGTGCCACACGTGGTATGTCAAATAATTTCTAATGGCACACGTGCCACAAGTGACATCACAAAGTCCAAACCAATAACAACTAAAATGCAAAGAAGATATTTGACTGTTTTAAAACTGTTCACTCAATGGACTCCCTGCTTGTATCACCTTCTAAGTGCACTGCTAATAAGGACACCAGCTAATAGACAAGGAAACCTTTCTATGAATGTGAGTCTTTTATTAATGCTAAGACTAAGCAAGGGCAAGGCTCTCATTAATAATAAAAACTTAAATATTATTGTATATATATATATTACAATATAAAATATATTGTAAAACAGGTATATTGACCTTGACTTGTATAAAAATACATATGCTGTTGGCACACTGAATGATTTTTAAAACCCTAAGTCAGTACTTAGTTAGCAAAAGGTTGCCGACCCCTGCAGTAACAAACCATTAACCATTTTCTAATTCTTACAAATAATTAAAAAGAATAATTTTTGCATTAAAAGATTCTGTTGAAAGTAATGTAAAAAGTAGTAACATCAAATATATTCAGCAGACCCATAGCATTTATTTATATCATCAATCTGACCCCTGTGCCTGGTGCAATTGCAATTAGTGCAGGGCTTTAAAATGAATCATCTTTAACCACAAGTCACCTTGCTTGGTTATATCCAACCTATTTTTACTCTCAGATAACAAGGTATTAATGCAGCTGAAGTTGATTTCTACCAAGTAGGTTATGTAATTGGTTCCAGAGATTGAGATAAGATTGCTCTGCACTTTGCTGATAGAATAAACCATCTTCACCATGAAGCCAATACTGTATTGTAGCATTCTGTAAATCTAAAGATTCTTCCTGCACATTGTCTTTGCATTTGATAACTTGCACTTCAAATGGGTTGTTATATGAAATTGGAACAAGCAATGCAATAATATCCTGAAATTACTGTATCATATCATTATGCAATTGTTTGCAAATAATTGCAATATATAATGACATCCTTATCGACCAATTAATCTTTTACGCTATTCAATCATTGAAATTGGTGGAGTTGATGTCTTGAAATGTTTCTTATTAAGTGGTAATTTTTAAATGAAGGCAATAATGGAAGATTTACAGCTGACAGATGTTTCTTTGCTTTCCTTGCAATAACGTATTGAGATCATTTGGCTTCAGGAATATGTTAAATAAAGAGATATGGTTTGGTTTATTTTGTTTTATGGCATATCAACTTCAATGGGTTATTTAATGCCGACAAAAATTTTATTGCTGGTAATATTTTGTTTTGTCAATTTGTCTGGTAATATATTTCCTTCAAAACTGTATTGTTGGTAATAGTTAACTATTTGCCCATAGCTAGGACCCTAACAGGTGCTACCACCCTGGGTCAGGATGGACCTGGGAACACCAGCAATTAAGAGGTGGTTCCATGCTCCTCAAAACCTCCTGATCAGAGGCCTTGCTGCTGGACATAATTTAACGTCTTACCCAGGACACAGATGTAGTTTTAACGTCTTACCCGGGATGCCGAAAGAGATATCAGAGAAGTGAATATTAGAGTGTTTTGAAAAAAAAAAAAAAAATTTTGCCAAGCAGTTCAACAAAACGGACAACATAGTTGCCTTTGTAATCCATTTTCTTTCAATATACAAGGTGTGATGGATAAATTGTCATCTAAATTATGCAAAAATGAAAATAACACAGACAACTCATTTAAACAGATGTATTTACTAAAATTACACAAAAATATCTTGAAATACTAAAGAGTAAATTTATTCAGTAAAATCACCATTGGCTTCAATGATGGCTTCCAGATGACTTTGGAATCTCCTGCAGCTCTTCTAGATGGTCTCCTTGTTTAAGTTGGTGAATGCTGCCATAATCCTTGCCTTCAGGTCATCTTTGGTGTTACAAAGAGTTTTATTGGTCTCTTGCTCAACTGCACTCCACATATAATAATCAAGGAGGATTGATGTCTGGGGAGTTAGATGGCCAGATGTAAGGGGTGATGTGGCCACAGAAATTGTCTGACATCCATAACTGGATTCTCCTGTTTGTGTTATGGTACAGAGTCTTGTTGCCAGGCATAGGGTATTCCAGCAGCCACCCTCTTGACCCAGAGCAGTACTACCTCCTCAATGCACCTGTTGAGTCTGAGGCCTTGTAGGAAGATGAATGGAGGCATAATATTGCCATCACTAGTGATCACTTCAAACACCTTCATAATCACTATTCGTCTCATCCAATTTTTTCCAAATCATCTGCATTGTCATGAGATTGACACCCAAACACTCTGAAATGTTCGTATTCGAGCTTCCAACATGAATGCCAAGCAGCACAGTATGCCATTTCCAAATATGCGGCAAAATGAATTGTGTCATGTTCTTTTCCTCACAGATGGTGCCCAACTGACCCTACTATACTGTACAGTCGACAAAAACAAAGAAAGTGCTTGTGTAAAATTACAAATATAAAATGGTGTTAATTTACACATCATACCCTGTAGAACAAATGCTTCACATCACCATAATCATTATCATAGCACAGTTGAACAAAAAATCCATTTAAAAAAAAAAAAAAGAACTGGATTTTAGCTTTTTTACAGTTTTAATAATGAACTGCAGTACATTACTAAGCCTACTGTTGACATTTTGAGCCACTAAATGTTGCTGGTGATCTACACAGTGAACTGTTTAAAACATGATGCAAAGGTTAATGTTTTAAGAGAGTAAAAAAAAACAAAAAACTACTGTATCTACCTATCATAGTAGGCACTCCATCCGATGCTCAGGCAGCAATATTGTTCAATGGGATTTTATGCTTATTAAAAACATCTTCAATAAATCTAAGATACTTTTTGATTCAATCAACAATTGATCATTGAACAGCATTTCTTTACAAGCTTGAATATTTTTATTAAAAAGACGAACATATACCATCATCAAACATTGACTTCCCATAATTGTTGATTTCCAACTTCTATGGAAAATTTAGAACTCCAGAAAATAGGGACAAGTTGATGTTTGACGTTGGAGGCCATTTCATGTATATGCTGAGAAATGGAGTTATTAGTGAGTAGAATTGTTTTGATACTTTTGTCAGGAGTTTTAAGCATTACAGTCAGTAAAACTTCTTCAATAACAAGTCGACATCATGTTTCTCTTTTAGTCTAGGACTTACCAGCCTTTATGACCAGCAGTGACACAATCATCCCATTACTTGCTGTGTAGTTACTTTCTGAATTTCCTAGAGCAATATTTTCTGCTTTTCAAACGAGGCCTTAAGATGTAAGAAATATAACAGGAATTTCTCCTTCTTAGCTTAGATCAGGGGTTAGGCAAACTATGACCTGAGGGCCACATGCAGCCTACCAAAAGAATTGATGCTACATGCCAAATGTTAGTAAATTTGAAAGAGAAAGTTACCAAGCAATGCCAAATAATACTTACAAGCAATTTGATGCCTAATTTTAACAAACTGTTAAATGACTGCAGTCTGATACATTATTTCTCTTTGAGTCATTAAGATCCTTCTGTTGCTGAGTTTCTTTCATGTGAAGTTACTACTTCAAAATTTAAATTAATTTTTTTCGTTAAATTTAGTTACTATGTTTTTTTATTTGAAGTTTTTACTTTAAAATATTAGTAAGAATTGCTTTTAATTTCTTTACACTGAGTTAATTTGCTTTTCAAATAAATGTTTTTTCCACTTTATAGTGTTAATTAATAAAAAATTTTTTTTCTTAAAACAAGGTTATTTTGTCTTTCAAATGCTTTTCATGTAAATCTTCAACTTAAAAATACTTATTAATATTTTTCTTTAAAGTACTTTAAACTGAGTTACTTTGTCTTTCTAATAAATGCATTTGATGTGAATCTTCTACAGTACTTTAAAATATTAATTAATAAAAATTTATTACATTTTTTTTTATAAAAGCCTTTTTTTTGTCTATTTTAAATATTAATTATTTTGGGTTGATATACTATGTAGCCCCCAAAAATTGTGAATTTTTGAATGTGTCCCTTGCACTGAAAAGTTTTCCCACCCCTGGCTTAGAGTATAAATGATACATTAAGCATGAAGGTTTCATGACTTTGTTGCTTAGTTTGGCGGCGCATAAGACACATATGTAATTGACTGCTCTGAGCAGAAGCTATAAACCTATAAGGTAATTAGTCAATTCTCTATTAATGGCAAACTTTCTAAACTGGAGTCATTGGGGTGGGGGCGGGGTTGTTTAAAAATCATACAACACAGAGAGAAAATAGTAGGAAGAATAAAGAACTATGTGAACAAAAATTTAGTTATATTGTTACTTAAAGTTGTCAAATATGAATTCGACTGAAAAGACTAGCATGGAGATAGTTGTTGAATGACTGGGTTGCAAAAAAAAACGTCCTTCTTTTGCGACCCTCACCACTAGGGTCATGTTACCATAGTAATAACAGATAGGAACAAATAACAACAACTTGTTTCACTGTCAGCCAAAAAGTATCTTCAGTATGAGGTGAAGGCATTTTTATGACATACCCCTGCTCTCATCTCTTCCATCATTCCAAATGGAAGGCTACTAAGCGGAAGAGAATGAGGCGTTCATGCCTTAGGACTCTTCGGTCGAACATCACTTGCAATCACTTGATGATTAATCTGACTGTCTGTTTATATGAGCATGTGCTTTGAGCTGTGAACAGGTTCCATCTTGCAATTTTCATATTTCATCTGGTATTGTAGTTGACACTTCATTGTTTATAGCCAGTCATCATAGTTCTTAGAAGTCATCACCTGTATTAATTTTATATGTGATTTCTTGGTGCTAGCAACTTTATCCTGAGGTCATTAAATAATTTTACTGGCAAAGTTATTGTTGGTCTTCTATTATATGATTTAAATCCGGAAAAAAAAAAATGTTATTTTATTTGGAGAACTCTTTGAATGTTAATCACCCTTCTCAAAACAACAGAAAATATTCCTTGTTTGCAGGGATATTTATATCTTGGAATGTGGCCCAGGTATTCCCAAATAGCCTCCTTCTTTTTTTTTGTTTTTGTTTTTTTATACACATTATTTGCATATCTCCTTTGAATACAGGTTCTTTGCATATTTCCTTTGAAGATTTTTTTTTGTGTAGCATATGTTGAAATACCTTTTTAATACTTAAAATTCTATATCGCCTACTAGTCTCTAATCAGTCACTATTTTCTGTTTAGTTGCTCATTGCCCACCCAACAGTTGAAAACGACCACTGGTGGGCGATATCACCTAGGTTGGGAAACCCTGTCTTAAAGGGTAGTTTAATCAAGCATCTTCAACAAATTTTGTGTGTATATATCTATCTATCTATCTATCTATCTATCTATCTATCTATCTATCTATCTCTCTCTCTCTCTCTCTCTATATATATATATATATATATATATATATATGCATATGCATGTTTCACTAAAAACAACAGACAAGGTACTATGGCTAAGCTTTTTATTTACTTTTGTGTTTGAATGAGAGCTTATTTTTTTCTTCTTTTTCTTTTTAATCTGTTTTTACAGGTGGATAAGGTTATACAAAATAGCAGTAATAAAAATCTTCCTAAAAAGAGCAGACCAGACTCTCGATTACTCTTTCTTAAAGAACTCAATAACATAAAACAGACACTAATTAACAATGGCTTTCCTAACCACCTTATAGACGAGCAAATTAGACTTTTTCTCCCCAAAGTAAGTAATAATGATAGTGAACACACAGTCAAAAATTACATAAACATTTATTACAAAACCCAAATGCACATTAACTACAGACGAGATGAATCTACACTTAGAAATATTATAAAGAAATACAATACCCCAGTTGACTTGAATAAAAAAAATTAAATTAATTATCTACTATAAAATTTTAAGACAGCTAACCTTATCCTCAAAAATAACAACACACCACCTAAGTCAAAATTATAGCAAATGAACATTATCTATGAGTTCAAACACTCTTTAAGGAACTGTGTTCCTGATCAAACCAAACTCATAAATAATTACATCGGTCACACAGCTACATTCCTATCCTGATGCCTTATGTTCCACCTATCTGACCACAGCTCTATTAGAACCCATTTAAACACATACACAAACCTACCAGACTCCATTCGAATCATACTAGTAGAAAACACCAACATAATAACCTTATCCACCTGTAAAAAAAAAGATTAAAAATAATGGAAGCCCTCATAATAAAAAAGAAAAAGCCAACTCTTAACAATATTAACTACGAACAAGGCCACAATGTGCTGTGTTCGGAAAATAAGACATCTCTATAACACACTAAAAGCATACACATAACACACACACTCAATTAAACTGAAAAATAAAATCCTCCTTGATAATGGCTAAAAGTATAACCAAAAGCGTTCAGAACTATAGAACATTTGGACAGTTTCTGAACACTCTGTGTCCAAAAAAGACAGCTTTTGTTTGAATGCAACAAAAAAAAAATTAAATAAGAAGCTTAACCATTGTACTTTGTCTGTCGTTTTTAATGAAACATGCATAAATGAAGGATTGCTGCCTAAATATATATATATATATATATATATAATTACTATAAACACATGTTTGATAACAACCAGTCCAAATGAAGAAGGTCTACAAAAAAAAAAAAAAAATTAAAAATGTGCCTCCCAGGAATCCAACTTGTATCCCCTTTGCCATCAGGGAAACCACTCCTATAGCTGAAGTGTGCCATTGCCAATTTGGCCATGGTAGACCATCTTGATAAAGTAAAGTTTAATTACCTTATAAGGAAACATGCATCTCTTGTTGGGACTTCATTTTTATACACCAAAACATAAATACAGTGATTTTTAAATAGACTTTTTAATCTAACATTATTTCTTGTATGTATTTTGAAGTACCTTTTAAATGAAAAAAACCTGATGTCAAACCAACACAAATGGGCCTTTCTTCTTAACAGTCAGAAAGCACTCTCAAAATAGCAACATTCTGTCTTGTCTATAAAAGCTACTAGCAGTGTAACATTGTACCAGTGGTAGTAGAATTAATTTCATTCTAATTAAATTTCATTAATTGAAAATAATGAAAGAGGTAAGATTTTACAAGTACAAGATAAGTACTTTAGAAGAAAGAATTTACATTAAAATAGACCCATTGTCTTAAATATATCACTCATGATGGGGTCTTGACATGCTAGCTTGGTTGAATTGGAAAGGTTAAAAGATAGTTTATATTAGCATACCTGCAGATTATGAACATGCAAAGATAGATAAAAGTTACTAATTGGCATTATTTGATCAGTTGGATAATCAGATGGTTAGTCCAACATTTTTGGGCAGAAGAAAAATTAATTTTGGTAGAACTGCGTTTTGGACAGCAGGGAGAAAAGATCAAAGAAAAATTCTTGCTCCTCAACCCCAACTTACTGCTGGAGAGATTGGCATCATGCCCATTGGGCTGGAGACAGGAAATTTTGATTGTACTTCACAATTTCAAAACCGTTCTATAACTCTGTAACAAATCTATTATACATATATATATGTACACACTGGAATATGTTAGGTAGTTTTCTTATTGCCACTCTGACATGACTAGAATATCTGCCTATATTTCTGAGATGAGGTGTTATAAGTATTTACATTATTTACATTGTTTGGACTGTTGTCCTCATTTTTATTGTCAGATTCAGGACGTTTCGGCTGATGTACACTTATGTTTTCTTCAGGATCTGTCTTCATCTTTATTGTTATATAATAAAACCAAAGTATTTTGCTAGCCTTGTTCAATGAAACATGTATGAAAGAGGGATATACACGCACATTTATATATATATATATAAAGATATATATATATATATATATATAATGTTAAAGTCGTCTTGATTGCGTAAGTGAGAAACTCTGGTTACAACTAGTGCCATCCTTTGATAGGAATTAATGTTGTGAAGGCATTTTTTGTTCTTTTTTAGGTAATCTGGATGTTGAGAATTTCATTTTAATGAAGCAGTACATGTTTTTTTAACTCTTCTTTTTTCTGTCCTTGTTCAAGATTTTCTCTTGAATAGAGTGTTAGGTCTTTTGGCAAATCTACAATTGATCCCACAAATGTTTTTGGTTTGTGTGTGTGTGTGTATATATATATATATATATATATATATATATATATGACATTGCTCTATTTATTGAACAATTTAGTTCATGCCACATTGACTGAAAAAAACTATTACAACAAAAGAATTCTCCAATTACCATATTAGTAAAAAAACGCACTCTCTTTTAAATTTTCAAAATATTCAACCTTAGCATTGTGACCGCACGCTCCAGAATTTCTTACAGTTAACAATAACACATTTCTAAAAAACATATTTCGATTCACGTTTAATCTTTCGTGTCCTGTTATTACCTTGATGTATTTAAAAAAAACAAATCAATTTCCATGCCTGATGATGTCTGTATGAACAAATTAAAGTAATAAATAAATTTGTTTGCGAAGATGTATTCTTGCCATTTATATCATTAACTTCACTAATCTGTTTTTAATATGAATCATTCATGTTATATATATATATATATATATATATATATAAATAAAGTGAACAATGAAGTCAACACTTAGGGGCAACAGTCCGTTTCATGCTAGACGATTGCATCTAGCATGAAACAGACTGTCGCTTCTAAGTGTAGACTTCAATGTTCACTTTTATATTTACACACACTCTATCTCTGATATTGATCACTTTATCTCATAAATGTAGCACACCTTAAGACTATATTTATTCATATATATATATATATATATATATATATATATAAACCAAAACATTGGTGGGATCAACTGTAGACTTACTAAAAGACCTAACACTCTATTCAAGAGAAAATCTTGAACAAGGACAGAAAACAGAAGAGCTAAAAAAACATGTACCTCTTCATTAAAATAAAGTTCTCAATAGCCAGATTACCTAAAAAAGAACAAAAAAATGCTTCACAACATTAACTCCTGTTAAAGTATGGTCCAAGTTGTAACCTGAGCTTCTCACTTACGCAATCAAGACGACTTTAGCACAAATGAAAGAATGGGGAAACCAATTTTATGCAACCTATGACCATAATTCATAATTATGTTTCTCTCATAAAAAATGACATTTAAGCAATAAATTAAAATATGTCGGATTAATAAATGAAAAATCCATTCCTAAATATATATAAAGATTTCTCAGAATTAACCTGTAAAAAAAGACAACATGTATTAAAGAAAAAGACAATATGAAAACTGTAGTTTTAGCCAATGTGGACTTTTTCAAGGTAAAAAATGAAATGAATTTATTGAAAAAGTATCTATAAGCAACAAACAAAATATCATTAGCAACTAGAAGAATTTAGAAACGCTATTGTATATTCATATGGTCAATTGAAATATTACATCAATTACTTTATGTTTGAAGAGAACATTTTCACGTGTAGAAATATTGTTTGTATTGTTGTGTTGATGAATTCAACAATTTCCTTTTGATTTCTTGATATATTTGTTGTGTACAAACATTATTGGAAATAAATACAATGTTTCTAAACAAAAATTAAAGACATGTCATAATAGATCATCCCATCTTCAATCAATCAACAATGTTTGCAGCAATTCTTAACATCAACTTGGTTTTTCTTGTTAAAAAGTTGAATAATTTTAACACATTCAACATTATGGATAAAAAACAGTGAATTTTATATAGCGATTTTTCAAAACTTAGCATGAGCAAAATAAATTCACAGATTTGAATGAAAAAAAAAGAACCCAGAATGATATAAAAATCTGCAAAATCTTTTCTTTAATAATAATCAGGTGTGCTTAGTTTAATTTGTGACATATATAAATATAAAAAAAAAAACAAATGATGATAAGATAGCAAGGGTCACAAAGTACTGCCAGTACCTGCAGTCAGGTTTGCCCTTCCAGCCAGAGGGTAGTATATTCTGGGGTCTTGTACACGCACACACAGATATCTTCTTGAGGAAAGCTATAGAATTTATCAACTGTAAATTTATTGAGACAATAAGAGTCTGAAAAAAAATGTATGGACTAACAATTTTTTTTTTCTGCAATCAAAAATTGGGTTTTGACATGGAAACCAACCAGATGGATTAATTCTGCATCTTACTCACCTGTCATATTGTCTCTTCATCTTACTCACCTGTCATATTGTCTCTTCATCTTACTCCCTAATCATAGTGTTTCTTCATCTCACTCACCTGTCATATTGTCTCTTCATCTCACTCTCCTGTCATATTGTCTCTTCATCTTGATTATCTTTTGCCAAATTGAGACAATCAGATTAAAAACTCTGATCACTTTTGACAGGTAAACTAAAGCATTTTATGCTAGATCAGCTAATGCCCACACTCCTTCAAGTGGTCAGATTTAATTTTGCATTAAGAAAACAACCTTTTATAGTGCTGTTTCTAGAAATTCTGTGCCCACCTCTCACATCTGTCTCTTCATTCTCTCTAGTTACACATTTCTCATTGCTCTAAATGATTTGTCCTCATGCCTGGATCAAAGAAATAGGATTTTTGATGCCAATTTTCAGGACTGCTTGATTGATGGATTGAGTTTTACGGACCATCAACACTTTGTCGGTTATTTATCGCTGAAACACATTTTACATTGTAAGAATAATTCTTTTATATTTTTGTGAAGGAATATTGCATTTAGAATTCTTAGAATAACACTGATTTCTTCAGATACAACATCTATTATTTAACCCATAGAAGAGAGAGAAGATGGATTCATACCTTTCACAAGGAGGTTTGTGCATAAGTGAATATAACAAACCTGACTGGAATTTGAACTTAGCTCTCTGACTTCTTATTCCGAGCTGCTATTCATGACACCAGCAGTACATCCTTCTAAGGCAGAGAGCTGCCCTTCTCTATTTGGAAGATGGCTGCTAACTGACATTTACTCTTTTTTTTTCGTCATCAAAGCTAAGTAAAATAGATATATGCTGGCTTAGCCCTGATAAAATGCTAGGATTTCAAACGCTGATTTTCCAGGAAATCAAGCTCTCCACATTTGGAGAATTCATGAAAAGATACAACAGTGTTTCATCATCATCCCTAGTTGATTGATGGAATAAATATAACTCTCAGTATTTGCTCCATAATTGAGGCCTTGTGCCAGACAAAGCTTATTAAATATGTGGACCACTTATCAGAGCATTATGAGTTAATGATTTAATCCTATTAACCCATTCATTAGTGTAGTGAGTTCAAACCCATTCATTAGTGTGTACTCTTTTTCAGTTCTATATTATCACACTCTCTTTTTTTTCATCACACTTTAAACTTAGGTTTTTTTTGCTTTCATTTTCCTCCTCTCTACCTCCTTTTCTCTCTTGTCTTTTTTTTTTCTTCTTCTCTGTCTTTCTCTCTCTCTCTGTCTTTTCTCTTTCTCTCCTCTCTCTCTGTCTTTTTCTCTCTCCTCTCTATGTTTTTTCTTTTTTCATTTCTCTTTCTTATTTTCTCCTCTCTCTGTCTTTTCTCTTTCATCTTTCTCTCCTCTCTCTGTCTTTTCTCTCCTCTCTCTGTCTTTTCTCTCCTCTCTCTGTCTTTTCTCTCCTCTCTCTGTCTTTTCTCTCCTCTCTCCGTCTTTTCTCTTTCTCTCCTCTCTCCGTCTTTTCTCTTTCTCTCCTCTCTCTGTCTTTTCTCTTTCTCTCCTCTCTCTGTCTTTTCTCTTTCTCTCCTCTCTCTGTCTTTTCTCTTTCTCTCCTCTCTCTGTCTTTTCTCTTTCTCTCCTCTCTCTGTCTTTTTTTCTCCTCTCTCTGTCTTTTCTCTCTCTCTCTGTCTTTTTTCTCTCCCTCTCTCTCTTCTTTTCTCTCTCTCTCTCTCTGTCTTTTTTTTTCTCTCTCTCTTTTCTCTTTCTCTCTCTGTCTCTCTCCTCTCTCTGTCTCTTTCTCCCTCTCTCTGTCTTTTCTCTTTCTCTCTCTCTTTCTCTCCTCTCCTCTGTCTTTCTCTTTCTCTCTCTTTGTCTTTTCTCTCCTCTCTCTCTCTTTTTTTCTCTCTTCTCTGTCTTTTCTCTCTCTCTCTCTGTCTTTTCTCTCTCTCTCTCTGTCTCTCTTCTCTGTCTTTCTTTTCTCTTTTCTCTCTCTCTGTCTTTCTCTTTCTCTCTCTCTCTGTCTTTTTCTCTCCTCTCTCTCTCCTCTCTCTGTCTTTTCTCTCCTCTCTCTCTGTTTTCTCTTTCTGTCTCTCCTCTCTCTTTTGTCTTTTTCTCTTTCTCTCCTCTCTCTCTGTTTTTTTCTCTTTCTCTCTCTCTGTCTTTTTCTCTCTTCTTTTTCTTGTCTTTCTTCCTTCTCTGTCTTTTCTCTCTCTCTCCTTCTCTGTCTTTTTCTCTTTCTCTCCTCTCTCTGTCTTTTCTCTTTCTCTCCTCTCTCTGTCTTTTCTCTCCTCTCTCTGTCTTTTCTCTCCTCTCTCTGTCTTTTCTCTTTCTCTCCTCTCTCTGTCTTTTCTCTCCTCTCTCTGTCTTTTCTCTCCTCTCTCTGTCTTTTCTCTCCTCTCTCTGTCTTTTCTCTCCTCTCTCTGTCTTTTCTCTTTCTCTCCTCTCTCTGTCTTTTCTCTTTCTCTCCTCTCTCTGTCTTTTCTCTTTCCCTCCTCTCTCTTTCTCTTTTCTTTTCTCTCTCTCCTCTCTTTCTTTTTTTTCTCTCTCTCTCTCTTTTTTTTTCTTTTCTCTCTCTCTGTCTCTCTTTCTTCCTCATCTTTCTCTTTAAATTTTCTTTTCTCTCTCTCTCTGTCTTTTCTTTCTCTCTCTCTCTCTCTTTCTCTCCTCTCTTGTCTTTCTCTTCTCTCTATCTTTTCTCTCCTCTCCTGTCTTTTTTTTCTTTTCTCTCTTCTTGTCTTTTTCTCCTTTCTCTGTTTTTTTCTCTTTTCTTTCTCATAATTTTCTCTTTCTTTCCTCTCACTCTCTCTTTTCTTTTCTCTCTCTCTCTTTTTCTCTCTCTCTCTGTCTTTTTTTCTCTCCAGTCTTTTCTCTTTCTCTCCCTCTCTCTCCTCTCCTCTTTTCTCTCCTCTCTGTCTTTTCTTTTCTCTTTTCTCTCCTCTCTCTCCTCTTTTCTCTCTCTCTCTGTCTTTCTCTCTCTCTCTCTGTCTTTCTCTCTCTTTTTCTTTTTTCTCCTCTCTGTCTTTTCTCTTTCTTTTCTCTTTCTTTTCTCTCTTCTTTCTCTCTGTCTGTCTTTTAAACTTCTGTCTTTTCTCTTTCTCTTTTTTTTCTTTTTTTCTCTCTTTCTCTCTCTCTGTCTGTCTTTTTTCTCTCTCCTCTCTGTTTTCTTTTCTCTTCTCTCTCTCTCTCTTTGTCTTTTCTCTCTCTCTTTTCTTTTTCTCTCTCTTTTCTTTTCTCTTCTCTTTTTCTCTTTTCTCTCTCTCTCTCTCTCTCTGTCTTTCTCTCTCTCTCCTCTCTCTCTCTCTCCTTTGTCTTTTCTCTCTCTCTCTTTCTTTGTCTTTTCTCCTCTCTCTCTGTCTTTTCTCTTTTCTCTCTCTCTCTCCTCTCTCTGTCTTTTCTCTTCTCTGGCTCTGTCTTTTCTTTTCTCTCTGGACTTTTCTCTTTCTCTCTCTCTCTGTCTTTTCTCTCTCTCTCTCTGTTCTCTTTCTGAATCTTTTCTCTCTCCTCTCTTGTCTTTTCTCTCCTCTCTCTCTCTCTCTCTCTCTCTGTCTTTGTCTTTTCTCTCTCTCTCTCCTCTTTTTCTCTCTCTCTCTGTCTTTCACTCTCTCTCTGTCTTTCTTTTCTCTCTCTCATCTTTTCTTTTCTCTCTGTCTTTCTTTTAAGGATCTCTCTCCTCTCTCCCTCTTTTCTTTTCTCTTTTCTCTCTTTTCTCTCCTCTGTCTTTCTCTCCTTTTGTCTCTTTTCTCTTTCTCTCTTCTTTTCTTTGTTTCTCTCTGTCTTTTTTCTCTCTCTCTCTGTATTTTTTCTTTTTCTCTCTCTCTCTCTGTCTTTGTCTTTTCTTCTGAAAAAATCTCTTTCCTCTTTCTGTCTTTTTGTTTCTCTCTCTCTCCCTCTCTTCTTTTCTTTCTCTCTCTCTATCTCTTTAGTCTCTCTCTTCTCTCTGCTTGATCTTTCTCTCTCTCTCTGTCTTTTCTCTCTCTGTCTTTTCTCTCCTCTCTCCTGTTTTTTTCTCTGTCTTTTCTCTCCTCTCTCTTCTTTTCTTGATTTTTCTCCTCTCTCTGTCTTCTCTTTTAATTCTGTCTCTCTTTCTCTTTCTTTCTCTTTTCTCTATCTCTGTGGTTTTCTCTAAATCTCTGTCTTTTCTCTCCTTTTTCTCTTTCTCTCCTCTCTCTGTTTTTTCTCTCCTCTCTCTGTCTTTTCTCTTTCTCTCCTCTCTCGTCTTTTCTCTTTCTCTCCTCTCTCTGTCTTTTCTCTTTCTCTCCTCTCTCTGTCTTTTCTCTCCTCTCTCTTCTTTCTTTTCTCTCTCTCTCTCAAAGATTTCTCTTTCTCTCCTCTCTCTGTCTTTCTCTTCTCTCTCTTTTTCTCTCCTCTCTCTGTCTTTTTCTCTCTCTCTTTCTCTGTTTTTCTCTCCTCTCTCATTTTCTCTTTCTCTTTTTTCTCCTCTCTCTCCGTCTTGGTCTTTCTCTGTCTTTTCTCTCCTTTCTCTTTCTCTCTCTGTCTCTTCTTTCTCTTTCTCTTTCTTTCTCTCTTTTCTTTCTCTCTCTCTCTTCTGTCTTTTCTCTCCTCTCTCTGTCTCTTTTCTCTCCTCTCTCTGTCTTTCTCTCCTGCCTCTTCTCCTCTCTCTGTCTTTCTCTTTCTCTTTTCTTTCTTTCTTTCTCTCTCTTTCTCTTTCTCTCCTTTCTCTGTCTTTTTTCTCTCTCTCTTTTCTTTTCTCTCTTTTCTCTTTTTCTCTCTCTCTCTGTCTTTTCTCTTTCTCCTTTTTTCTCTCTCTCTCTCTTTTCTCTTTTCTCTCTCTCTTTCTTTTCTCTCTCTCTCTCTTTCCTCTGTCTCTCTGTCTTTTCTCTTTCTCTCTCCTCTCTCTGTCTTTTCTCCTCTCTCTCTCTTTCTCTTTCTCTCTTTCTTTTCTCTCCTTCTCTCTCTCTAAATTTTCTTTCTCTCTCTCTCTCTTTCTCTTTCTCTCTTTCTCTCTCTCTCTCTTTTCTTTTCTCTCTCTCTCTCTCTCCTCTCTTTCTTTTCTCTCTCTCTCTTTCTTTCTCTCCTCTCTCTCTTCTCTCTTTCTCTCTTGTCTTTTCTCTTATCTCTTTCTCTCTCTCTTCTCTCTCTTTTCTCTCTCTCTCTCTCTCTTTCTCTCCTCTCTCTCTCCTCTCTTTCTTTTCTCCTCTCTCTTCTTTTTCTTTCTTCTCTTTCTTTTTTTCTCTCTTTCTCTCTTTTTCTCTCCTCTCTCTGTCTTTTCTCTTCTCTCTTCTCTCTCCTTTCTATCTTTCTCTCTCTGTCTTTTTCTCTCCTCTCTCTGTCATCTTTATTTTTCTGATCTATATCTCTTTCTCTCCTCTCTCTGTCTTTTCTCTTTCTCTTTCTCTTCCTTTCTCTCTCTCTATGTTTCTTTCTCTTTCTCTCTCGTCTTTCTCTCTGTTTTTTCCTCTTCTCTCTCCTCTCTCCTCTCTCTCTCTGTCTTTTCTCTTTCTCTCTTTTTCTTCCTCTCTTTCTTCTCATTTTCTCTTTCTCCTCTCTCTGTCAAAATTTCTCTCTCTTCTTTTTTCTCTCTCTTTCTCTCTGTCTTTTCTTTTCTCTCTTTTTCTCTCTGTCTCTCTCTCTTTGTTTTTCTTTCTCTGTCTTTCTCTGTCTTCTCTCTTTCTCTCCTCTCTCTCTCTCTTCTCTCCTCTCTCTGTCTTTTTTCTCTCTCTCTCTGTTTTTCTTCTCTGTCTTTCTCTCTCTCTCTGTCTATTTTCTCTTTTCTCTCTCTCTCTCTTTCTTTTTCTCTCTCTCTTTCTCTTTCTCTCTCCTCTCTGTCTTTCTCTCCCTTTCTCTCCTCTCTCTGTCTTTTCTCTCCTCTCTCTGTCTTTTCTCTTTCCTTCTCTCCTCTCTCCTCTCTCTTTCTTTTCTCTCTCTCTGTCTTTTCTCTCCTCTCTCTGTTTCTCTCCTTTTCTCTTTTTCTCTTCTCTCTTTTCTCTCCTCTCTCTCTCTTTTCTTTCTCTCTCTGTCTTTCTCTTTTCTCTCTGTCTTCTCTGTCTTTCTCTTTCTCTCCTCTCTCTGTCTTTTTCTTTCTCTCTTCTCTCTCTCTCTCTCTTTCTCTTTCTCTTTCTTTCTCTCTCTCTCTCTGTCTTTTTTCTCTTTCTCTCTCTCTCTCTGTCTTTCTCTCCTCTCTTTCTCTCTTCTCTCCTCGTCTTTCTCTCCTCTCTCTCCTCTGTCTTTCTCTCCCTTTTCTCTCTGTCTTTCTCCTCTCTCTGTCTTTTCTCTTTTCTGTCTTTTCTCTCTCTGTCTTTTCTTTTCTCTCCTCTCTCTCTCTTTTCTCTCTCTCTCTCTCTCTTTTCTCTCCCTCTCTCTCTCTCTCTCTCTCTTTCTCTTTCTCTCTCTCTCTGTCTTTTCTCTCTCTGTCTTTTTTCTCTTTCTCTCTTTTTCTCTCTCTGTCTTTTTCTCTCTTTCTTTCTTTTCTCTCTCTCTCTCTCTTTCTCTCTTTCTTTTCTCTGTTTTTCTTCTCTGTCTTTTTTCTCTCTCTCTCTGTCTTTCTCTCTCTCCTCTCTCTTTTTCTCTTCTCTCTCTCTTTCTCTCTCCTCTTTCTCTCTTTCTGTCTTTCCTTTCTCTCTCTCTTTTCTCTCTTTCTCTCTGTCTTTTTCTTTTTCTCCTCTCTCTCTCTCTTCTTTTTCTCCCTCTCTCTGTCTTTTCTCTCTCTCTCTCTTTTCTCTTGTCTTTCTCTCTTTTCTCTCTCCTCTCTCTGTCTTCTCCTCTTTCTTTTCTCTCCTCTGTCTTTTCTCTCTTCTTTTTTTCTCTTTCTCTTCTCTCTCTTTTCTCTTTCTCTCTCTTCTGTCTTTTTCTCTCTGTCTTTTGATCTCTCTCTTTCTCTGTCTTTCTCTTTCTCTCTCTCTCTCTCTCTGTCTTTTCTCCTCTCTCTCTTTTCTTCTCTCTCTAAGAATTCTCTCTCTCTCTCTCTCTCTCCTATTTTCTCCTCTCTGTCTTTTTCTTCTCTCTGTCTTTCTCTCTCTCTCTCTTTTTTTTCTCTTCTTTCTTTTTCTCTTTCTCTTTCTTCCTTCCTTTCCTTAATTTGGAGATTTTCTAATTCATCTCTTCTTTTTTTTCTCTTTTGTTCTTTCTTTTCTGTTTTAATGAAAAGAAGAATGAGAAAGAAATGTTTTATCGAGTTGCATATTATTAAAATCTTGAGATCTGCAATACTGGAAATAAGAGTGGGCAATTCTTTGAGGAATAATGGATCTTTTTTCCTTTCTTTGAGTTTTAATTGAAATAGATATAATGAAATGGATCAGACAAAATGGATTTGGTTAAGACTTGATAAGAGAAACTAAGGAAAATAAATTTTGGAAACATTGAATTTGCCCTTGTCTCTTGGAAGAAAGCCCAATGTTTGGAAATCCTCATCTCTCAGAAGACAGAAAACATAAAGATTAAAACAAGGAAGTGTATAAAGAGATACTGTGTGTGTGTGTGTGTGTGTGTGTATACATATATATATATCGTCCTGGGTATGACGATAAACTACATCCGCATCCAGGGTAAGACAATAAACTACGTCCAACAGCAAGGCCTCTGATCAGGAGGTTTTGAGGAGGGTGGAACCACCTCTTAATTGCTGGTGTTCCCAGGTCCACCCTGACCCGGGGTGGTAGCACCTGTTAGGGTCCCAGCTATGGGCAAATAGTTAACCTCCAAACTGAAGTAAAAAGCCTTATGAAATACTTTGTAAAAAATTATTACCAGAAATAAGTTTGTTCAAGGAAAAAAACTATTACCAGCATTATATTTTTGAAGAAAAAAAATATTAACAGCAATACATTTTTGAAAAAAAATATTACTGGCAATACATGTTTTAAAATAATATTAGTTATAGTTATCTAAATTACATGAAAATGACACTGATATCTTATTTTAATAGATATATTTACTAAAAATACACACAAATATCTGGAAGTATTAAAGACTAAATTTATTCAATAAAATCATCATTGACTTCAACCATGATCTCCAAACAATTACAGAATCTCCTGCAATTCTTCTGGACAGTCTGATGAATGGTGCCATAAACCTTGTCTTCAGGTCAACTTTGGTGTTACAAGGAATTTTGTTGGTCTCTTGCTCAACTGCACCCCACACCTAATAATCAAGGAGGTTGCACGTCTGGGAAGTTAGATGGCCAGATGTAAGAAATTGTCTGACAACCATGACTGGGTTTTTCTGCTTGTGTGGCATGGTGCAGAGTCCTGTTGCCAGACATAGGCTCTTCTAGCAGCACTATCCCCTCAAGGCATTTGATGTAGGCCTCTGTGAGAAGATGAATGGAAGCATAATAATGCTATCACTAGTAATCACATCAAACATCATGATGTTGACTGGATATATATCATGGGTGATCATGGTTCTCCACAATTTCCAGTTCTTCATGTCTTTTAGTAATGTTTGTCTTTTTACCCTCTCTCCCTCTCCTGACACCCATCCAGAAAAGCTTGTCAGGTGGCTTGTTGCCTGCTCCTGTCTCTTTTGTCTTTGATGTGAGTGTCAAATTTTATAAACCCTCCTTCCTCAATATATGTCTCAAAAATTTCATCTATCTCTTTCAATTCTTGATTCAGTATCTATGCTGATGATACAACTATTTACTCCTGTCTTAATAGTCTTATTGGTTCGATTGGCAGCTGAACTAAAATATGACCTACAGTCCATTGTTAAATGGAGCAAGGAGTGACTTTCTATATTTCTGAGATGAGGTATTATGTACATTATTTACATTATTTGGACTATTGTCCTCATCTTTGTCGCCATACTTATCACAAAGTTTTGGCCATTGTACACTCTGGCCTTCTTCAGGTGGTTGGAATGTTGAACTGAACCCTTTATTTCGCTCACTGGGGTAGACTGTTCTAGTTCCATGTGCCATGTTTAATGGATGTCAGTTATCAGTTATCACCTGTTAATTTCCCTCTGAAAGTTCTCCACTGCCTTAACCGGGTATTGAACTCACACTCTTTGGGTCCTGTCACTGGATCTAACCAACGCCTTTATCCACTGTGCCATGTGTCCTTGAGGACAACCACCTGAAGAAGGCTGGAGCATACAACGTAATAAATATGGTGACAAAGATGAGGACAATAGTCTGAATGATGTAAATAAGGAGTGACTTGTTAATTTCAATGCCTTCAAAACAAAACTGCTCTCTTTTAATCATCTTAAGAAGCATTTTTTGCCTTCTGTTAGTATGGCTGATGTTAACCTTTAAGGGAGTGACTTATTGTGCCTTCTTGGGTAATGTTTTCTGCTGACATGAAGTGAAAAAATTATATTGAATATTACTATAGGTCTCCTGCCCGGAAAGTTGGTTCACTATGATGTGCTAGACAAATTTTCTTGCCATAATCTATCTTAGACTTTTACAGGTCAACTCTTTCTTCTAAGCATTAGATATTGCTGCCACATCTGATCAAGTGCTTCTGATATGTATCTAGAAATTCTTTATATGTTATAAATGTTATAAGTCCTGACATTGTATCTCAACTTCAGTTACTTTGCCACTACCATAATATCACTTCCTTATGCCTTTTCTATAAATATTTTCACAGTAATTGCTCTGATGGACTTTCCTCTAGGGTACCATGATTTTACAAATTTAAAGGCAATACTAGATTGGCAGATAGGTCTCATAATTTTTTCAGTTGAAATTGCCAAATGAAGCCACAAGTTCTATGCTAATGGTTTCTTTCTCTTGCACTTTTCACTTGTGAAACTTTCTTCTGGCTTCTTGCTTTCCAGTCATCTTTCATCTTTGATCCTGTTCTTTTATTGTGCTTCCTCCTTCATTTTTTTCTCATATTCTCTCGCATTCAATAACCCCTTGTGCCTTTGTTTTGGAATTGTTCAGGTAGTGTAGTTTTTATTATTTGGTAACTTGTGATTTTGTAACACCAATCTATAGGGGTATCTGTAAATATTTTGAAAAGTATTACACACAGTATACATTCACATAGTGTTTGGTATATGTGGGTTTTCCTTTGATGTTAGACTTATTGGTAGAGTTGAGTGAATTTATAAATAATTGTATTGTTCAGTGTAGACAAGTGCATACAAGAAACATTTCAGAAAACCAAAAAGTTCAGTTTGGTAAATATCTAGAGTTTCTCTGCCTTTATCACTTTGTCATGTTTCATGAAAGTGAGTTTTGTTAATTGAAAAGAAACAGATAAAAGTGTGATTAACAGAGAACTGAGAATAAGTACCTTTAACTTAATTGACTAAGAATAAAATTCTTTCCTGTTTTCTGGTCTGGCACCAAAAACACAAATCCCTGTATCTAAACAGGGTAAGATTTTAGGAAGAATTTTCATTTTCTACTTTTCATTGAAATTCAGATCCTCTTTGGGAGAAAAGAAAATTACAAATTCCGTGTTTACAGCAAATCACCTAAAGCTTGAAAATAGAATTCTTCTATGTGCAATGTCCCTTCACAATATGGGAATCATGGTTCTCCACAACTTTCTATCCGTTGTGCCACCTTACAATACCTCTCAATCTCTGTACTGTAAGCCATCTACACAAGCTCGTTAAGTAGGTTGATCATGGCTCTCCACAACTTCCTGTCATTTATAGCTCTTAACAATGTTGGTCCCTTTACTATCCCTCTCACTCTGGTCTGCCATCCATTTGCACAGGCTTATTTCTCTCTGTTGCTCTTTCCACTTTTCTCTCAATACGCCTTTTGAGTGTCAAATTCTCCAAAACCTATTCTTTTATTATGTGTCCAAGAAATTCAATTGTCTCTTCTTTATTCTAAATGCAAGTCTCCTTTATGTTTTCATTTTACTTAAAATTTCTTTGTTGGTTACATATTCTCACCATCCTTCTGTAGAACATCTCTGTTGTTTCAAGTCTCCTTTTTATCTTTGAAAAAATTATCTAACATTTATTTTAGGAGAATTAATAATATATAGCAGATCAGCATTCTTTTTGTAACAAAATTTGTTTAGATTTTGGAAGGCCTAATTTGCTATTTCAGTGCATGTTTGGATTTCTGCATCACATAAAAATCTGTGTTCAGCTGAATATTTTCTTGTTTGTAAAAATTTTATCAGGCCTGACAATTGCATCTAGCATGAAACAGTCTGTCGCCTCTGAGTGTTGACTTTAATGTTCAATATATATATATATATATATATATATATATATATATATATATATATATAATCAAATCCATAAGTGGAAAGGATAATCCAAGTTGGTCTTTTAATATAAAATATTAAAAAAGATAGATCCATAAAGAGAGCTCAATGTATATTATGCATAGCAATATGATAGACGTAAAGGGAAAACTTAACACATCATCGAAAACACAGTTATAAATTATAATTAATTTCAACAGGTATGTTTTTAACACTCATCCCATCAAATCAAAGTTACAAATGGTTTAAATTTACAAAATGGTATAAATTTAAATTTATCCAGAATATTTTATAAAAGAAGACAACAGAAAGTTTAGACACTTGACCCAGAAAAAAAATTTTCTGGGGATTTATAATATTGAAGATATATATATGTAGTGGAGGAGGGGTTGTTAGCTTTCAACCTGATTTTCATGTGTGATGGTTGGGTGAACATAGTAACAACTAGAGAAAAAACACTAACATATATGCACACATGCATGCATGCATACATACATACATATATATATACACACACACACAAACATATTTTCTCTCTGAAGCTTTTAGCTTATGCTTTACTATTTGTGTGTGTATGTCTATATATATATATATACACACACACACACACACACACACAGTAAAGCATAAGCTAAAAGCTTCAAATAGAAAATAAACTGTTGGCTCAATGCCAAAATCAGCAGAGATTAAATATATCATAGTATCCATTAAAACAATGATATCAAAATATGCTACTCAGAGTTTAATTCTGTAACACAGTCATCAGGCAGATGAAGTATATATCAATCTCTCTATATTATATATATATATATATATATATATATATATATATATATATTTCACACTATTTCCTGGTCTTTTAAACATGAGTAGAGGTTTATCTCTCCCATGTTTCCTGTTTAGGATTGGGTTTTTCAGTTCCTTCTAAAGGCTTTTCAGTCTCTTTCTCTCCTGGTAGCCTGTTAAGCAACATTGAGCCTGATTAGTACTTAAATGGGTGACCTATTGGGAGTAGTAGAGGTTTATCCCTTGTTTCCTGTTTAGAAATGGGTTTTTAGTTCCTTCTAAAGCTTTTCATT